CCAGTAAATGTTTTACTAATTCAGATAATCCATTTGGTGCATGTCCACTAAATGATTCACTGATTCAAAGGATCCAATTAGGATGAGTGTCTAGTAAACGGTTCACTGATTCAAATGATATATTCAGAGTGTCCAGAAAATAATTTACTGATTCAAACGATCCATTCAAAGTGAGTCTTCAATAAATGATTCACTGATTTAAACGATCAATACAGAGTGAGTCTCCATTAAATGATTCACTGATTCAAATTATATATTCAGAGTGAGTGTCCAGTAAATAATTTAATGATTCATATTGTCTATACAGAATGAATGTCCAGTGAATAATTCACTGACTCAAGTGATCTATTCAATGTGAGTCTCCAGTAAATGATTCACTAATTCAAATGATCCACATTGAGTGAGTCTCCAATATATGATTCACAGATTCAAATTATCCATACAGAGTGAGTCTCCAATAATGATTCCCTGATTCAAAAGATTCCTTTCCTGCCTGTTTACTAAATGATTCACTAATTCAAATGATTCATACAGACTGAGTCTTCAGCAGTTGATTTACTGATTCAAATGATCCATTCAAAGTGAGTCTCCAGTAAATGATTCACTGATTCAGATTGACCGCTCATATGACTGTATGTTTTGTGTTTAGCTTTCCAAAATGGGCCCGGATGAGTCGAACAACATCCTCCGCAGTCTGGAGATGCACTTCCAGGAGTTCAAGAGGCACAGTCAGGGCTCAGAGCTGTTCGGAGCCGAAGACCAGAAGCTGATTGAGAACCAGTTTGCAGGAGCACAGCAGCACTTCGACAAGCTGGTGGTGGATCTGCCCACATATGGTGAGAGCAGGCTTTGATGCTGAATGTCTGAGAAAATTAAAGGGGCAGTTCACACAAAAATGATCATCTCTTCACTATTCACTCACACTTATGCTTTTGAAAAAATCTGGCATTGGCAAATCCCCCAATTATTACGCCCCAAGTCTAGGGAAAAACCACATAAGCATACTAAACAGTAAAAACTAAGGATGCACCGATATGGATTTTTTTGGCCGATACGATAACCGATAATTCTTCAGACTTGGAGGCCGATAGCAAATATATATATAGGCCGATAATTATAAATAATTCAAAATGTTATATTTTTATACAGCAAACTTCATAATAGCTGAAACTCCACTCTTTTGAACTGAATAGCCTATACTCAAAGCAAAAAAGCTATGATTTCAAAATTGCAAGGTGATTATAAAGACCTATAATCACCATTTCACACAAATCAGCATGCAAAAAATACATTATTTCATTTTCTTCATAGCAAATTAACATGCAACAAGTTGCATGAAATTAAAAAGGTTAAATGACAAAATGAGATTTAATCAACAAGCAAGTTAAATATATTTTAAACAAAATGAAAATGAGAGAGCTAAGGACTAAAACCAGCTCAAATGTTCTTGAATAAAACGTGTTACAGTAATGTAACTTACGTGTACAAATATGTCATGTCTGAAAAAGCCTTTTTTAGAGGTGTTTTGACAGTTCAGAGCCACAGTACAAGTGGTAAGCTAGATACTGAATGTATTATTTTTAAAAATGCGGCATAAATTCATCGTATTTAGCGTTTTAGATTCTTTTAAACACATATAGCATCAACGCTTCTGTGTTCGTTCTTGCTGTCAATCATGGGGAAAATGATTGATGAAAAGTTTATGATAAACCACTTTGAGGGTGCAGATTTGCCTTTGGATTTTGATGCAAACCTGATCATTGAGCTCAGATGACTTCATGACAAACACAGAGCAGAATATAAAGACAGAACGTGTGGCCCGTATGCTGGATTCAGTGACCGGTGCACCTAGGCTCTCCCCTGTTGATCTGTGTAGGCTCAAGATCTATGTGTGTGTGAAGGCTGTCAGATCTATGTGTGTGTGCGTGCGTGCGGTGAAAGCTCTCGCGCGCTCGTTATAATCAATATGAATATTCTGATCAAACTGAATACAATCTTACATCAACAACACATGGCAAGCAACGCGTTGATAATAACAAATAATTATATTAGATTAAAAACCTTCCGTAAAGTTTTTGTTTAGCGCGTCACGTGTGCAGGTCAGTTTGGTTTGTGTGTGAAGCGAAGAGGGAGAGACAGAAAAGAGGAGCGCTTTTTTCGCAATGAGACCAAGTTACACGGGTCCTCGTTCATTCACAGGCTGCAACTAAAATAAGTTCACCCCGAAACTAATATTATTCGGCCCTGGAGTAATAAGTAAATCTCCCTGCTATCTCTAACACAACAAATAGACAGAGCAGGAAAGGCTTTCATATGTAATATTTTTTCCTGAGGCGATTTGTAGCAAAATACACAATAATCAGTGTGAGGAGAGATCCATGAACAAGTCTTAACATGTTCCGCCCATCCGTGCGCGGCAACAATTACGTAATTTATCGGCTTAAAGATATCGGAATAATTTAGACATTGGATTGATAACGATAATCCTAAAAACAAAATTTATCGGCCGATATCGATATGGCCTCCGATATGTTGTGCATCCCTAGTAAAAACAAATGTGTTTGGGGTGGTGGATTTCCCAAACAAAACAAAAAACCTAATGCAAAAGATCCCCTTCTGTCGACAGCCAAACTCGGACACTCAGTTAAGAGTAACTGAATAGATTTATTATAGAAATAAAAGTAGTCATTTTAAATGATCATCCCTTCAGGGTGGCCACAGGCCAAAATAACAAACAGAAGGATCTATAAAGTAAATGAACTAAATTATCTATAGATATTTAAAGAATATACAGGTAGCTTACCTCCCTCCCTAAACATAAACATAGTCAAACGTAATTAAATAAATAGGCAGGCCACCCCTACAAGCTCAAACTCCCAAAAGAAGTTGAACGCATGAACAATAATACAAAATTGAATGTTGGTCGTCGGCCGGAGGGATGAGGGAAATCCAGGAGCTTCACTCCCAGCAACAATCGCAGCACAAATAAGCTCCCCGAACCCTGCCGGAAGCTCCTTTTTTACAGGCCTCCGAGACCAGCAGCCAATCAGAGCATGAATCACGCTGGAATAGGAGCCTATGGGATAACAAAAAAAAACAACAAGAAGGCGGGACAAACAAAAAGACACATGCAATGCACAATAAAAAATAAATAAATAAACTGTAGTCTTAACAGCATTTTATAAATTGGAATTTATAAAGGAATATATAGAGGGCTGAACATTAACACCCGCCAAATGCGAGTAGATTTCAGCTGTGGTGGATTAGACAGACACTCCCACTAGCCACTTTGGCTGGTTGAAAATAATTGTATAATTTTAGCTCATCGAGAAGCAGCACGACTGACAAAATAACCATTTATTTATTTTTGGTGTGGCCAGAGAAAAATGAGGTCAATCCTTAGTGTTGAGAGAAACGGAATATTAAATGAGAAAACAGTGGGCGTGGCTTGTTTTTTTCTACTGCGAGCTGATTGGATGTAGTAAAGTAGGAGTGTTTGAGGAGAGTTATTACAACCTAACAGACTCCTCCCCCTCCCCATTTCTGTCTGTTGTCAAAACTGACAGCTGGAGGAGCGGGGTTAAGTATATTAGCCACGCTCTATGCCTCAGATAGACCAGGGATGTGGCCGTCTTTACATTTGCAGGTTTCTCAGCAGCAGAAGTGGTCATAGTTGGTAAACTCAGAGAGCAGTGAATGGGAGAGTACAACAAATTTACAATCCTATTTGCTGAAATAATGACAGAAAAACTCCTTGATGGTGTTCTTAAGACTTTAAGAAAGAGGAAAACATTAGTGTGAGGCTGATAACGGCAGCCAGAGGAGAGAACAATTCACATTTACCGTCCCGTCTCGTAGACTCTGCATCAAATTACAACAAATGACCACTTGTGTGAGGTGTTTCTAATGCAAAGATGAAATAATAAATACATAAATGCATATAAATGTTGACATGTTTAAAAATCTAAATATTTAAATCGTTCAAGGATTTACGATGCTGATGACTGTTAAACCGTTCCCAGTGATGGGTTGCAGCTGAAAGGGCATCCGCTGTGTAAAACATTTGCTGGATTAGTTGGCGGTTCATTCTGCTGTGGTGACCCCTGATTAATAAAGGGACTAAGCTTAAAAGAAAATAAATGACTGACTGTTAAGGCTGATTTATACTTCTGCGTCAAACACCGGCGTATGCTACGGCGCTGACGCATAGCCCTTCACCGTGGCTGTCGGCGTCACTGACGTGCACCTCTCAAAAAATGTTACTACACGTCGCAACAACGCGTAGCGCAAGCTCTGTGATTGGTCGGCTTGGTAGCGCTGACGAGTCTGGGCGGGACCGAGAGCGATTGTTTACAAGTGTGGAGTCCCGTGAAGGAGCTCTGGATGGAAAGATTTGTTTTGTGTTTACCTCATAGTTAAAGTTGTTGCACGTCCGCCGGTTCCTGCCTCAAAATGAGCGAGTTTGAGCCACTTGTACATCCAGGAAGTGTTCAGGAAAAGCAAAAAAGCAGCGAAAAAACTCGACACAGAGGAACATTTACACCTCACTGCCCACTAGCGTTTCAGAAGTGTTAATGCAGACCAACAGAGACAGTGCGCAGAAGTATAAATGCACAGCTACAGGCGTTGCATGCGCCGTGGGTTACGCCGGTCACTTGACGCAGAAGTATAAATCAGGCTTTAAACGCGTCATAACACTCTTGTGAAAAGGGTCTATTAAATCGTAAGTTTTTACTCAATTGCAGTATTAGCTGAATCAGTGTATTATCTGCTGTGTTTTCTCTGCAGCCGCTCGAGGAGAAGGATCTGAATATTCAGCGGCGGTGAGCGTTAAAATGCTGAACGAACTCAACGCTCTGAGACTGAAGCTGGACGGAGCCGAATCCTCCCTCATCTCTTTCCTCTACATCGCTTTAGGAGACGACGGCCTGGAGGAGTGCGGACAGCACATCAGCAGCACACAGGTCAGTCTGAAACACAGTCAGAATTACAGATACACACACAAACTCAATATGTAATTTCAGCACGGATATCGCAACGTGATCATTCGCAGTAGTCACATCGCAGGACATTCATTCATTCATTCTCTTTTCGGCTTAGTTCCTTTATTAATCTGGGGTCGCCACCGCGGAATGAACCACCAACTATTCTAGCATACGCAGCGGATGCCTTTCCAGCTGCAACCTATCACTGGGAAACATACATACACACTCATTCACACACACATACACTACGGACAATTTAGCCTACCCAATTCCACTATAGCGCATGTGAGGAAACCAATGCGAACGCAGGGAGAACATGCAAACTCCACACAGAAACGCAGACTGAGCTGAGGCTCGAACCAGCGACCTTCTTGCTGTGAGGCGACTGCGCCACTACGTCATTTTTTTTGTCTTCAGGCCTTTCAGAAGAACATCCAGGGTCTTCGAGGAGAGTTTGTGAGTCTTCGAGACGGCATTCAGGCTGAACTGAAAGATGCCGGCAACAGCGATAAAGGCAGATATCTGAGCGGTCAGCTGGACATCATGAACCAGAGACTCCTGAACCTGGACAATTACTTCACCACACATCTGCAGAGGTAAAACATGCATCATCTGATCACCAGGGCTGAATTTAACTGATCAAAAAATCTGGGAAATAGTTTTACATTTTAAAATGTCTGTTTTCCATGTTCATTTATTTGTAAGCTGTAATATATTACAGTGACTTAAAGCAGTGGTTCCCAACCTGGGGTCCGCGCCCCCCTAAGGGGGGCGCCAGAGTATACAAGGGGGGCGCGGGAGAGGATAAGTGTTGAGGTAGAAAAAGGCATAAAAATGCTCCACTATTATATAGGGCTGTTCAATTAATCGAAAATCCGATTTCGATTTCGATTTCAAACGACTATAAAAAAGCATTAATCGAGATAAACGATTAATGCATCATATACCGCCACCTTTCTAGTTGTACACGTGTTGCTCTTAAAAGCCCGAACGAGCGCGTACTTATGTGTGTGTGCGCAGCAAGCACACTCAGAAGCATGCGGCCGGTCAGCATTCGCTCATTCGCACTCTGAGACGAGCAGAGGAGTGCAGACATCTAAAGACATTAACATGAGCTTTTTAATAGTCAAATAGGTGTCAAAACGCGGTGTTTAGTGATTATTTATATTAACCCTCATTTGTGTAATAAACAAACGAGTTGAGAATCAAAAGACACGTGAAAGAGAAACCAAAGAGACAGCGAGAAATATTCCTGCTGCCGCCTGTTTCTATGATTATTAATCAAACAACGAGAAAATCCCTCACTAGTCTTGACTGAAGGACTGCTGTAGCTAAAGTGTTTTTCTTACAGTGAAGATGCTAAAAGCACAGTTTGTTTAATATTTTTATTCTATTGTATTTATTTCTCTTTCCTTTGCAGGGTGGAAAATAACTGTATGTACTGTATACACTTGAAGTCAGAATTATTAGCCTTCCTAAATATTAGCAACCCTTTTCCTCCCAATTTCTGTTTCATGGAAAGTTTTATTTTTTTTTTTCCTGAACATAATAATTTTAATATATCATTTCTAATAACGGATTTCTTTTATCTTTGCTATGATGACAGCACATAATATTTCACTAGGTATTTTTTTAAATACAAGCATTCAGATTAAAGTGCAGTTCAAAGGCTTAATTAGGGTAATAAGGCAAGTCATTGTATAACAGTAGTTTCTTCTGCAGACAATAAAAAATATTTATTGCTTAGGGGGGCTAATAATATTGACCTTAAATTAAATATTTAAACCTGCTTTTATTCTAGCTAAAATCAAACAAATAAGCCTAGAAGAAAAAATATTATAGGAAATACTGTTAAAATTCCTTGCTCTGTTAAACATAATTTGGGAAATAGGAGCACTAATAATTTTGACTTTAACTGATAATCGTTTTAAATAATCGTGATTACAATTATGACCAAAATAATTGTGATTATGATTTTTCCCAAAATCGAGCAGCCCTACTATTATATATGTATTTTTAAGTACCAAATATATATATATATATATAAAAAAATGCTTAAAATTCCAACATGATAGTAAGAATAATTAAAATAAATAACTTTAAATAATTATTTAAATTTTGCTCACTCACACAATGTGCTTGTCAACGTGTCGTAAAGGCAAAATCAAAACAAAATCGGCAGAGAGACGTAAATGCAGTGATTCTTCAGAGGCGAAGAAAAAGATTAAACATTATGGCAAAGCCTACCTAAATTTTGGTTTTATTGAAGGCCAAGACAAGTTAAAACTGATTAATTTATATTTTCTATACATATTATATATTAATATTACACAAACACACACATACAGTATATATATATATATATATATATATATATATATATATATATATATATAGAGAGAGAGAGAGAGTGAGAGAGAGAGAGAGAGAGTGAGAGAAAAATATATATATATGTGTGTGTGTGTGTGTGTGTGAGTATAAATAAAAATATATAGAGAGAGAGAGAGAGAGAGAG